CACTCGAGGATTACGCGGTGTTAGTAGGAATACGAGTTTTTTTTTTTTTTTTTTTTTTTTAATAAACTTTATTAAAACTCAAACGTCTAAGTATTTATTTTATTTACTTTAAATATAAAAAAAAATTATGCATGAAATTTACATTAATTATATAATAAATATTTGATTAGTCATATTCAACCTAGTACAATAATTATGAATACATTAAATTTTATATAGTCTATATATTATCATATTAATTAATCTATTTTATATTACTTGTCTTATAAATTCTGCATGATGATGTTGTAATTTCAAACTAAAAGGAAATTAATCCGATCTCAAAATCATTTATGTCAAATAATTAAGAATCAACAAATAAAAGCGGAAGCGTACTAGACTTTATGAATGGGAAATTCTTCTGCTTTTTGTTCTCTAGTTCCATATGGATATATACTTCCAAACGATCGAAATCTTATAGCAGATGTAATTTAGTAGATTGTGTATATTGTATATCGTACATTCTGCATATCTATTTTGTACTGAAGTCTGGTGTGCATGGTGCTTTTAAAGGGAGAAAGCACCTCTTCGGAAATTTGCTTGTATCTTTTTGTCGTTTGAGGTCATAACCAAATAAATAAAATTTATTGATTTTTAGTTCGTTTCCTCGACAAACAGAAATCTCATAATAGTATCTACACGTTTAAATCCATAACAATTTGATACTCCCTTTATCCAAAATTATAAATTTAGCAGATCACTTTAATTGAACTATATTATGACAACTATACATATTCTATTTGCATATATTGTCCAAATAAAATATTTCTAACAATCTTTCACTTGGACTACATATGCAACCGAACAATGTGTATTATTTTATGAGCTCAAAATTTGTTGTCACAAACAAAAGTATTCTCTACTAATCTCGTCCATTATTCGTAATGGCATAGGACTAAAGAGGCATTCATCATTTTAAGATGAATCAGCCCATTGATAATCACATATATCAATGCTGTCGAATGACATAGAGCAATCATGGAAGTGTAGCATGAAAATTTTATGTAATGTGATCTTTCATGCCTATTTTCAACTGGTCACTTTATTCCTTAGTGGGATACTAAAACTACAGAGTATGATAAACCGAATACTCCACATCTGATCAAAATATCCAAATGCATAATATAATGTACACATATAGAACAATAAATTAATATAGACTCCCACTAAAACAAAAAATCCTAAAAATGTGTCACACCCTTGAACAATATGTTCATGAAAGACCTTGGGTGTTAGATCTTTAGTAAGCAGAGCCGCAATCATTGAGTCCGTCCTGATATGTTCTATAGCAATTTGTCCACTCTGTACTCTTTATTTTATAACTAGGAACTTTATGTCGAGATGCTTTGACTTAGTTAAGTTCATATTGTTATTTGCATATAATACTGTTGAATTATTGTCACAAGAAAACTTTAGTGGTCTTTCTACATTTTCAATAATGCGTAGCCCATTGATAAAATTCAGCAACAATATTCCATGATTGATCGATGTCTCATAACACGCTACAAATTCAGTTGTCATGGTAGAAGATGCTATAAGTGTTTGTTTAGCGCTTCTTCATGAGATGGCTCCTCCAGCCAATAAATAAATGTAGCCTGAAGTTGATTTTCTAAAATGTTGACATCCAGCAAAATCAGAATCTCTGTACTCGATGATCTTAAAATGATATCCTTAATAACAAATGATGTGTTCTCCTGTTTTGTTGGATATCCAACCATATGTAGATCGGAATATACATGAGATTATTGCAATATAAAAATATAAAATAAATTTTGAAATCAATTCCAAAAATTTTATCGATATAACTACCACAATACTATATTGGAATTGACATCTCAACATTAATAACAACTCCCTACATCTATATTTTCATTTTGTAATGAGCCATATACCAAAAATCATCTATTGAAGGAGTTCAAAACTATCCTTTGATTTTATCAATAACTACTCCAAACCAATTTTTTAGAAACTCATATTGTGATTCACAAACAAATTTCATATAAATTAGTAGATTAGAAGAAAAATTAAAATATTTATAATATTATAAGTTATATAGAAAAATAAAATAATATTGATGTAATTGGAAATTAACAATTTTTTTAACTTCAAATAATATATATTACAATCTTTTTCAATCAAGTGTTGGTTATAATATTTGACACAGTTTTCAACTTTAGCCTAATTTATTTAGAAATCGAAATAATATATTGTAACAAGTTATGGGTAAGAGAAGATAGAGAGAGATAATTATTTTGTGAGTATTATTTATTGATAATATTTGAATATGTTAAATTTTCATTATCTTTAATTATAAACATGGTCTAAAATGATAACTATTTTATAACGAGTGAAATAAATATAGAAGTCATATAGTAAAAAAATTAATTATTAATATTCAAAATTACTTAATATATTAATCAATATATTTCCATTGATTTACTACACGCAATTATAATTATTGACTCGTACATCCCACGAGCGATGTACTGGTTTTAAAAACCACCTAACTAAAATATTCTTATATATTTTTTTTCTCTCTCTTCCTCTTTTCTTTCTTTCTCTTCGTTCTCTCTCTTCATTCTCTTTCCTCACGCATTATTTTTCTATTCTTCCCTTTTCTTCTCTTGCTCTTCTTCTCCACCAAACATTTATTCTTCTTCTTCTCCAAACATGAATGACTAAAAAAAAAAACCAAAAATAAAAAGATTGATCAATTGGTTATATACATACATAGCAATTAAATTAACTAAAAAGTAACACAAAGGTTTGTTATTGTAACTTTAAAAATTAATAATATATATTATGAAAACAACAAGCAAAACACATAATTACAAAACAACAATTTAAAATCTATCAAGCAACATGAAAACAACTATCTATAAACAAATAAAATATAAAGTGACATATTCTCCAACAATCAGATATCTGAAAAAAAAAACATTTAATTGATATCAGAGAATATCATATGGATATGATGATTTGTAAAAATTTAAAGTTAATAATTTCATTAAAATGGACCTGATGGTACGTGTCGTTCAACCCGGAGCTGCACTCCGACCCGAATATGGGAGCATTACTTGAATGCCTGACGACGGATGTCATTCTCTAGTTGACTGTCTTGGCGTCTTTCTCGTTCCTCGTCCTAGCCATTGATCTCGTCGGATTAATCTAATGGAAACGTTGAATATAATTAAAATTGAAATTTGGTGCACAAATGGGGATAATTGAAGGTTGTATTTATAGGGGTTAGTTTAATAAGAGTTGTACTTGTGAAGTCGAAGACCAATAACTGAAATAAGAGAGAAGAAAAAAAAAATGAAGAAGAATAAAAAAAGGAAATTAGATTTTTGGGGGATATTGCATCTATTTCAAGAGAAGAAAAAAAAAAGGGAAGAAGAAGTAACGACAAATAAGAGATAAAATTAGGCTATGTTTGGTAAAACTAGTTGATAAGTTAGCTGATAGTTGATAAGCTAGCTTATAGCTTATTTGTAATTTTTTAGCTTATAACTTATAGCTTATGACTTATAGCTGAAAAGCTAGCTTATATGATAAAAGTGTTTGGTAAAATTAGCTGATAAGCTAGCTGAAATAAAAAAATCAACTAGCTTATTTGAAAAGCTACCTAAAGTAGCTTATGAGATAAGCTCGAGCTTTTTAAAAAAGCTCGTCCTACCAAACGAGGCTTATTTGAATACAAGGAGTTTATAAGCTAACCAAATAAGCTATAAGCTAACTTATTTGGCTTACCAAACACAGCCTTAGAGAGAGAGAGAGAGAAGAACATCGGCCAAAAAAGTTCTGGCGTATAAAATGTAGTGTTGCTCCTTTCCTGCAGGCGTTGTCTTGTCATTAACCGGTCAAGTGGAAGTCCTGAAACAAAAATACAATTTTGACATAATTAATAAACTATATTATTAAAGTGAAAAATATTCTAAAAAAGATAAGACTTCTGTTACGCGGTTAGGCAACCATAGTCATTCAATAAATATTTTTAGATTTCAAATCAATATAAACAAAAGTATAACATTTAATAGTATAAGCATGTGTATTTTAGAATAAAATATGATTAGCTAACAGTTAGTCTGTCTAACAAAAATATTTGTATTGCAAAAAATGATTAAGAGATGAATAAGTTTCTCATTTAAGTATAACTTATTCAATTAACGACTATAATTGTAGACACAAACTGTAATTGTTTTGTTTCCTTCTATATTATAGTATTAATAATAGTATATGATTACATATTAATTCAATTATTTTTAGTTTTATTTAATTATGTTTATCTATATATATATATATATATATATATATAATTTGTTATTTGAAACATTATATATTATGTAAAAATACTAATACATTAGTCCACTGGACCAACTGTGAACCATTGAATATATATAGCTCTTACGGTTTGATTCTTGAGAATTTCAACCAAAATATCCCACAATTTCAACCAAAATGTACCACATGTGTCTCTAAAGATCTCTCAAGCGATCCCACATTAGGTTCGTTGTAGTTTTTAGTGTTCTAGTCTCTCTTTGTTTTTTAATTTCTGTGGTGTTGTTTGTCTGTAGCCGCGAATGGCTTTGAGGGGATGAGTGTTCCTCATTCCCCCTTGGTTCTATTGCTCGGTTTTCTCTTTTTCTTGAGCACCTGGAGTTGTACTCTTGTGATTACCGGTTGCAATCTTTGGTTGAGTTTAATATTATTTGGGGTGTCGTTTGGAAAAAAAAAAACAAAAAAACAAAAAAAAAGAGCATGTTGAACTATGCCTCCAACTCGACCAAAACATACCACAAATGTATTGTGCTGAGTAAAATGTACCACAAGTATCTCTCAAGGTCTCTCAAGCTATCAATTATCATGAGTACGTTGATCTATGCCTCCTTTTTCATGAAATGAAATCGTACCATAAAATGTCAAAATTTAAAAAATGTACTTAAACTGAAATCGAAGTAAATGTTATTCATTCTGCAATTGCGCCAAAAAGAAAATAATGTTTCCACTTTCAAAGAACCTTAAAATCAAATCAAAGGAATATAATGTGTTGTCACTCTTATCATCTTCATGATGATATGTAAGCATAAATTCCAGTTTTAACATAAAAACTAAACCTCAACAATAAACTGTGATATTTCAAGGGTTAACTCAGAACCACATTGAGTCTCAGGACTCTCAACTTGCTTTTGAACACCAACTCTAATAAGATGGAAAAAAATAAAATATCTGAATGACGCATTCCGGATTTACACACACACACAAAAAAAAAAAGAAGGCATGACAAGGTACAAGATTGTGACCTAAATATTATTACCATCAAAACAGAGATCAGATTTATGTTTGTAACATGGATATTTATCAAAGATCAGAAATCCAACCAGATATTGCTCCCGTAACTTATCTCCGCCACTAAGATTATCTTGTCCTTACAATTCCAACATACTGCTAAAAATCAACTTTTTGATGTCCCAATAGTCGAAATCTTGTCCCTTACCACGGAAAGATTAGGCAAGCGAGGTTGCTGGTCTTCTTCAAGTTAACAAGTAAATATTCAAGCAGTCTGCAATTCTGGTTCTGGTTTTGGTTCTGAGGCAATCTCTTCAGTCTTTTCTGAGCAGGGAATGTACTTCCAGCAGCGCTTGTGGACCCCGCTTATTTTCTTTGGGGCATCTGCAGCTTGAATACCTGCAAATTGGAATAAAGCCATTGCTTCAGGTCTTATTAGCTTATATTTGTACCATATCAGAGAAACATCTAACTTCCATTGATGGCTAGTTGCAAAAATTATCCTCGGGTTAAGCGTAAAGCCAAAAACTCAATTACCTTCGGAAACTACAAATACCTATCCAAATATTGTTTGTCATGTAAAGATGTACATCCAAGGAGGGTAACCGAAAGGTAATACGCATCTGGATGGGGGTATAGTTGCAAATTCAGAAAATAAATGTGGGGTTGTTTTCTGTTATAAGACTACACCTGACCTCCACGGAAGCATTAATATTTATGCCTTTCATCAATGATCTTCAGATGATTAAGAATGCAACTTTTTCTATGTTTCAACTCAACAATAACCACCAAATAGTAAATAATCATAAAAATAATAGTAATAGCAATAAAGCCCTTGTAAGATGCCAACAAAAACCCTCCACAAGATTTGCCTTTTTCATAACACATCTCCCCAGGGATGCACTTTGTAAAACTAAAATGAAAACAAGTGTCATAAGATAGCTGGGATTTTTTGTAAAATGCTAAACCTCTGGTTTAATTACGTAATTAACTCTTCGTCTACAGATGGGTAACCACAAGCAGTAACACGTATGAAGAGAACATAACTAACTACAGACATCTATAAACACATATCAATTAGGTTTAGATAGAGTGGGTTATTACTGCAAAGACATTAGCTAGCAAAATTTAACGCATTTAAAATTGGATTATTCACATCAACGGACACCATGATGAAATCAGTGTATGATAGTGTTTTATTATTTAATTTTTTTGCTATAAATCTGTAAATATTGGTATTTCTCTAGAAAATCTTGTCACGACAGATTCTTCATTTTCGATCATCTCACATGCATTAATCTTTCGCTAGTTGATGGATTTCTTTCACGAGTTGTTGACCAAAATATCTCAATGCAGAAACTCAAGTAAATCTAATATGGCTGATTACCTATAGGCCAATGAAGACCATAATCTTATCAAATACCATCATAAGACACTACAATCTATGAGCAAAAGGTAAATGAAATCGGAGAATTAAATTCAAGTTGTGCAGAACAACCAAACAGAAAACAGAATAATGAAAAAGTAAATGCGTGGTTAGAAAAACTTATGAGAGAATGCAAAGAACTAAAGCTCTATTATGTTCCGTTTTACTTTCTTTTTTCACCGTAGACTCACCAATGTCCATATCAGATATAAAAACCACACAAACTGAACCATGCACCAAACAAAGTTAAAACACTTGGGATCATAATTCTTAGAAGGATAAGTTCACAATCAATCATGTTAGTCATGTTTCAATGTTGAGGTTACAAGAATACGCAGCAGCCTACCATAAGCCCCTCCCAAAACTAATTCACTTCATTTGGAAATCATGACAGCTGAGCAGGACATTTTTGAACTGCAAGGAAAAATAGCATTTTTTTCCCTCTACTATAATTCACATTGCTTCCCCTTGGAAATGGACAACCGAGTAAAAGTAATGAGTATCGAGTCTAGGCGAAAAATGATCTCAGTGGAATTGAAAAACAAAAGCAAAGAAAAAATAATATAGCTTACACCCAACATTAAATACACAGGGAGGGAAACAGACTATCCTTTATCCTGAACCCACGAACAATTTTCAACTCATCATATAAAATGACAAACGCAATCAACATAGAAAGGCATACCATCCTTATGAACAATCCCCCAAGCCTTACCATGCCGCCCGTCCTGGGACAAAAAAAAATGTTAAAATGAAGAAGAGCAAATGAAAGGAGATACTGCAAATCCTTTTTAATAACATTAAACCTTAAAACAGCTCGATTAACAATTAATACGATGTCCATTACAAAATATTGAGATTTATATCGATTAAATACAGCTAAAGGAAGAACAGAAAAGATTGAAAGAAAAAGTAACCTTATAGAGGTTAATTTTAGTAATCTCGTAAGATACCCCAGTCCAGTGAGTTTTTGCCATGTGATAGCCAATACCCCAGTTAGGCAGAAACTGAGCAACCTCGAACAGGTTCTTTTTCTTCTTCCGCTTCGGCTTCTTAGGTCCGCCGCCAGGCACCGCCGCACTCACGGCGGAATTTTCAGTGGAAGTGGCGGTGCTCAGATTGCGGAGGAAACTGAATGCGCTTCTAAATAGGACCGATGTACTTTCAACCGTTGATGGTGTCCTTCTCGCCAATAGACGGATCGCCATTTCCACACTATTGGGCAGCTCTGATCACTGAATGAGCTGTATTAGATTTGAGAGGGTTTTAAGCTCCGGTAAGCGACCCTATTTCGGTATTTCTGTCAGTGTTTTAAAACACGTATAGTGTACTACGTCATAATAGTAATTGCATATTTGACTGTAACTAGTATAGAGCCCGTGCGATGCACGGGATGTACATTTTTAAGGCTATTTATCCAGGCTTATAATTATATACATGAATAAAGAAATATGTACATAATATATATAGTACGTGACCCGTGCAAAGCACGAGATATATTTATTTAGAAAATATTATATTATAAGATGTAATATTTAATAAAAGTTTATAATACGCAAGAAAATTATACAATGTTCAATAAAAATTGTATAATATTCAAGTGGAGTCTTAAAATCTCTTGTACATTAAGACTACTGACAAAATAATATTTTAATCAATGAGTTTCCTTTCCTTGTAGCCAAATTGTGAGTGTGATTTGAGGAGTACAACAAATCGATATATAGCTGACTTGCTTTTTTCATTGTAGTTTTTTTTTTTTTTATATATAATGAATTTAAAGATATTCTAAAATATAGTAAAAATTAATTTTTTTATTACAATTAGGAATTTTACTAAATATAAACTCTCAATCTATGGTGTTAATCAACGTTTAAGTCTAAAAAATTAGAAATTTTTACCTCTTTTAATCAACGTTTAAGTCTAAAAAATAATAGAGTTATTCTAAGTTTTTTTTTCTACATCTTTTAAGACTTTAAATATGAGCATGTTAGGGCTAGCTTGTAAAATAATTAATATATTATCTCACTAAAACATTTATACTAATATTAATTTAATTTTAGCATATAAATTTATCCCTTGATATAAGAGAAAGTAACAGTTTTACTTATTGTTGTTCACCATATAATATTTAATTATTATTTTATTATATAATAAAAAAAATATTGTTAAATAGTGTAGTAGAATTGTTATAAAATTATATGATTTGTTTTTTTACAATATGGATTTAATATTTTTTTATGATTTGATAATATAAACAAATCTATACTTAACTTTGACAATAAAACAAACAAATACTTTAGTAAGTATTTAATGTATATACTAAATAGGAATATATTTAGTATAATCAAATACCAAATATAATCAAATAAGTCAAAGTGTACATTTTTATTTGGTATTTGATTTTTTTATTATTAAAATCTTTTTATTATACTTACCTTTTTAAAATAAAATAAATAAATAAAATAATTAAATAAATAAAATATTATAATACCAAAATAGTAATGACATTTAATGCAGTTGACTTTTCTGGATAGTAAATATAGTAAATAGAATCTCTTTTTATATAAGTATAGATTGTATAATACGGAAATAATAATGCAATAAATGTTGTTGACTTTTCTTTATATTAAATATGGTAAATGGTATACCTTTTAATATAATTATAGATATATTTTAATTAACTGTCACGTGGTGAGTATAATAATAATAATATATAATTTATTTAATCAATTGATTACGTGCATACTATAATAATAATAGTAATAAACAATGGATAGCACACGTTTTGAAAAGTTAAAGGCAATCAATCAATTCACATGAATTATAGGTGAGATTAATGAAAGGTGAGATAATATCCGTTCATTTATATAATCTAGTGTGAAAAGGACATAAAAAAAAGTGTGAAAAGGACATAAAAGTTACTAATTTTAGTAAACATTTAATGCAGACAGGATGTTGACTAAGAATTGACCTACTAATTTTGAAAAAGGTTAATTCTTATTATATAAGTATAGATAATCAGAACAGTAATCAGGTAACATTTTTACACATAAACCATGTTAACATTTTTATACATAATATTCTTGATGGAATGATTAAAAACCATGTAACTGGAGATTGAAATTAACCTTTTCTATACATAAACCGAATGAAAAGTTTGAAAAAAAAAGGACCTCTTAATTAAATGAGGCATAAATAATTTTGGGTCATCCAGATTTATAATCTATCCTCAAAACACAGCAAAGAAATAGGCAAATACACATCAAAGAAATTCAATCCTCAAAACAGCAAGAATTGGTCAATTATTTATATCTCACTATATTAATTTAATACATAATCATTCCAATAATCAGAAAACCTAAATCATCAAGTGAATGAAGAAGAGGCCCGATTTCAATTTGAAGTTCTGATGAAGCTATTCATAATCTCCAATGGAAAACAAAATATTTCCTTTGGAGTCGAGAGCCGAGGAGCAGGTGATGTAGGGTAGCGAGAGCCGAGCAGCAGGGACTTTGGGGGTGGCGAGATGTGAGAAGCAGGTTGGTTGTGAGGAGACTGAGGTGGAGCCGTGGAGGCGGCGGAGTTACTACTCTCGCCGGGATGTGGTGGAGCCGTGGGGCTGCAGTGGAGGAGGCTGCGCTGGAACTGAGAACCGTGTTGAGTGAGATGATGAAGAGGTGAAATGAGGGTTTCTGGCTAACTTTGACTGCCTTCTATTTTGTTTTCTTTTATTTATTTATTTATTTATTTCCTTCCTATAAAAATTAATACGTAATCTATACCTACATATATGTATTAGTACATAACTAGTACGTGGCCCGTGCGATGCACGGAAAAATAATATTTTGATTGTATTATAAATTAAATAAATAAAGAACATTAATTATGATTTATCCATTATTTATAAATTAAACCGGGTTGGACGCAGTCCGACCGGATGGACCGAGAACCGATTTATAACCGATTTACTGCGCTTGAATAAAATATTTACTATCGAATCCGCCAACACCAGTATGTTGGACTGGTAAGAACGATACGATTTTCTAAAAAAATTTTGTTACATGAAAAATTATTTTAAAAAAAATTACATATTTAAATAAAATAGAGATTTATAAATTGTTTATCAATTAGTTTAAACATTTGAATTTATAAATTGTTTAGATATTTAAGTAACACTTTTTATTTAAATTTATTACAAAAAGTACTATATATATATATATATATATATATATTTATATTAAAGTATTATGTATTAAAATCTGAACAACAACAAGACGGTCCGATTCTGAAAACCTTATATTTACCGTACATTAATAAAAATGATAATGAAATAAATATTTTGTTCACATAAATAATAATAAAATGATATATAAATATTCATAAATCATTATTCATATTGTCATAAAAGTATTGTTAATATGATTATTTGAAGTTTGGACTACATCACATTCACGTAATAAAGTATTTTCAATATTAAAATTTATATTTAGGTTCAATAATCAATTTGGCCTGGTCAAACTGATACATAACTTAGTTACCTCGGACCAACCAAGTTGTGTCAAGTTTTTTGACTATTTTAAATATCACCTAAAAGTAATTCAATCAAAGTGGGCAGTACCCTAATTCAATCACCCGATTGATCCAAAGTAATTTCCTTATTTTCTTTAAATATAATATTTAATTTTATGAAATAAAAATATTTTATGATTCATATGTCTACACCAAATGATAGTATATTAAGATTATAAATTATATATCTAAAGATGAACTATTTATTTTTATTTTATGCATATTAATAAAAAATAAATATAGTAATTAAAAAAAAATTAAGATTAATTAATTGAGTATACAATTTAAAAAATATTTTCAACGTTCAATATATGTATATATATTTAACATGATTGAATTTCTGGATTAGAATATATATATTTAAAATAATTTTATTACTAAAAATCAAAAAGAAAAGATGCCATATACAACTTTGAAAAGTTTGTAACCATTAATTTAGGAACCCTCCGATTTTAAATGATTTATAATTTTTGAAACATGATACGTGCATTTAAAACTCATTAATTTAGAAACCATCCAATTTCTTGAGAATGAATTAAAATTAAAATGTAAAATGTAAAAGTTACTGAAAATAGTATATAATAAATGTGGTTGACTTTTCCTTACTATTATTTATGGTAAATGTTAATTCTTATTATATATATATAGATATGTGCTATGCACGAGACAATATTTATAATTGAAGGTATCTATATATATAATAAGAATTACTATTTTTTTAAAATGAAAAGTCAAATTTCAGTCAACATTAATTACCTACCATTCTTAGTAACTTTTTTTTTCCCAATAATCATATTAACAATATATTAAAAGAGTGATTAACATGCTTTGTTATATAGATACGTGATTTTCGCTTAAAATTAAAATGATAACAGGCTTTGTTCATTAAAAATTAACAACATGTTAACAAGATTTTTCAATTTATGAGGCTTTGTTCATAAATTTTTCAGTATAAAACAGCATGTTAACCATTTTCAAAGCATGTTAATACATTTCAAGTTTTAATAAGAATTACCATGTGAATATGACAACAATATTTATTTATTAATTCATTTCTAATTTTAATATTCCCCAAACTTCAAATAATCATATTAACAATACGTTTATATGACAACATGTTTAATGATTAATGAATATTTATATATCATTTTATTAATATTTATGTGAATAAAATAATATTTTATTATAATTTTTATTAATGTACAGTGAATATGGTTTTCAGAATCGAACCATCATCAAAACGATCAAATTATTCTATTAAATCATTTGTAGTTTGTTCAGATTTAAATTTATAAACATTTTAATATCAATATATATACATTTTAATATATATATATATATAGAGTACTTTTTGTAATAAATTTTAATACTTTCTTGTGCTTCAGCCCTATGAGGATATGGTTAGAAACGTGGAACATTTGATAAAATGTGTTGTGTCGTTGAGGAAACGTGTTATTTAAATATCTAAACAATTTATAAATTCAAATGTTAAAACTAATTAATAAACAATTTATAAATCTCTATTTTATTTAAATATGTAATTTTATTTAAAATAATTTTAAATGTAACAAAATTTATTTAGAAAATTGTAACGATCCTACCAGTCCAACCGACTGATGTTGACGGATTCAATAGTAAATATTTTATTCAAGCGAACTACACTGTTTATAACCCGGTTCTCGGTCCATCCGGCCGGACTGTATCCAACCTGGTTTAATTTAAAAACAATAGGTAATATTATTT